CATTTCCATTCTCCACGTGGGCATTCACATTTTGTGGAGAGAATTCCCTCTTCTCCTGTAGATACCTGTGGTGGTGGGATTGTTTTATTATTTAAAATATATTTACATTTGTAATGCCTTCCCAATTATCCCTTTAATTGTTTATAGCCTACTGNGTTGCAACAAGTCAGTTTGTGAAATGTCTTCTCTCCTAGATATTCCACGATCAACTGTAAGTGGTATTATTGCAAAGTGGAAATGTTTATGAACCATAGCAACTCAGCCACGAAGTGGCTGACCACGTAAATTAAATGGCAGCAGCGTTAAAAGCTGAGGCATCGAACACAAATCTTTATGATAATTAACAACCTGCTTCAGTTGATCCTTATAAAATAAATGTTATTTCTATTTTTAAAGGTCCCTTTTTTTCTTATGGATATGTATTTTGGCAAATGTATTCCCTTTGTAACGCTGATCATACTTATGTCTTATAGATAAAGGAGAGAATAGACATACAGGAAATTAGGAATCACTTTCATCTTTATTTTCAACATATATGTTTTTATACAATGAGGGCTTTTTATTAGCCATTATATTTAATAAATAGAACCACATGATGATCATTTTACATTTCAGTGTAATTTAAATCTCTTACACAGCTACAGTAAACAAAGATATCAGCTCAAGTAGAACACCAATAACCGCAGCAGTTCAGAAAATTAATGTCAATAAATACACAAAAAAAACATGTAAGTGGTTTAAACACTGTGCAATTCCCTCTGTTGAGGTAAAGACTTTTCACTTCTTTATAAGCGAAAGGAACTCCTTCCTGGTGGTGGGATTATCCTGAAATGTTCCCAGCATGACACTTGTAACAGTGCTGGCGTTTATCTTCTGCACTCCTCTCATCACCATGCACATGTGGCTGAAATGCAAAAAGAAGGATATTTAAATTGGTGTAAAACAGATCCATGATAATATGCCTTATGAGCTTGTGTGATACAAATAACTCAGGTGCAAACAGCACGTTTGATGTAGCACTATCAAAGTAGCCATGATATAAAACACATCCAAAAGAGCTTTAGCAAAATCGTTCGGGTGAATTATCACCAAACAAATAATTTTATTATAGGGATGAAACAAAAGTTAAATACTCACGTAGCCTCAATCACCACTGCTACTCCAGCCGGCTCCAGAGCCTCAGAGATGGCTGAAGCAATCTGTTTGGTGAGACGCTCCTGAACTGTGGAAGAAAATGAAAGTATTATATGTTGTGTAAGGAAAACACAAAAAATAACACAAAANCCAGTAACTAGTTTAGGTAGTTTGAGAGGTAATTAAAATAGCTACGTGTGATATTCTAACCTGAAGCGTGTGTTTTGTCCGCTCACCGCTGCATGTGGATCACATGCAGCGGTGAGCGGACAAAACACACGCTTCAGGTTAGAATATCACACGTAGCTATTTTAATTACCTCTCAAACTACCTAAACTAGTTACTGGCATAATAGATTGCCCGATCGGGCAACCAGCAGGTGAGGCTTCATGGCCCGAGCTAAATACTAGATGGCCCCGGGCCATCGGGCAGTCCTTAATGTCGAGCACTGGTGTGACTGTGAACAAATCAAAATGGTCAAATGTAATATTTTAATATCTTTGGTTTAATACATGGCATTATTTTGTTTAAAATATTACTGCAGGCAAACACCATGGCAACAGCTTTGAGTCCTGATTTACTTTCTGAAATCACATGAGAATGGACTTGTTGGCTTTAAGTCTGTTGATATGATTTAGGTTTAAAATAATGTAATATGCCACAAATAGCTTTTCATATGTATCTATATAATTCATTTAGGCTACCAGCCACAGTAAACTCAGTGCACTGTGGCTGGTTTATCTTCCCCCTGTCATCCGATGGATTTGTTGACAGCCCTACTAGTTTTCACTTCAACACCTTGCTAGTTAGAGTGAAGGTAGGGAGTGTTATGGGGACTTAAGCGTTTTATTCTCTGTTAAGAGCATTTCCTGTTGTAATGAAGCACTACATTCAGAGCCAGTTGAGTAATATGTTTTAAATCGGATTGGGTTGGGTAACGTGAGACAATTGTGACTTTTTAAGTGGTTTTATCTCTTTGCCTGATCTAATCAGGTTGTGTAGAGTATGTGTTTGGACACAGCGCCTGACAGGCTTTCACACTGCCAAGTCATAGGACTCTGGATTTATAGCATCACTGGCTATAAACCCAATTACTGAAGCTTGTTATTGTTGCCGTGGGGAACAAAACACGAGGCACACAATACATTTTAGAATCAGGAATTGAACTCATAATATTTTCTGCTGTGTTTCAGAATGAGCTTTTAGACTGAGGTGTTTATGTGATGAATGACTTCTGCAAAATGCAAAAGTCTTTGATTGACCCTTTGAACAAGTGACTTGAGAAGCTGTGCAAATGGAGAATGGCAAAAGTGTTTATAATCCCTTTACCTTTGCAGGCAGGCCAGACAGCGTTGATGCTAGCTGTTAGCCACGGCCGTCAGGAGATGGTGCGGGCGCTGCTGGAGTGCGGCGCTGACGTCAACGTGCAGGACGACGAGGGATCCACAGCCCTGATGTGTGCTAGTGAACATGGCCGGGCTGAGATAGTTAAACTGCTCCTGGAACAACCTGGTTGCGACATATCCATTGTTGACAATGTAAGGCTTTTACAGTTAGCTGATGCTCAGATTGAGGGGATGTCTTCAGTAACTTGAGCTGAGCCTACAGTTGAGGCCAGCTGTTGGACTGTCTGACTGCTGAAAACATCTGAATACTTGCTTGTCTGGGATTCAGCTTAATCTGTGCTCAGGAAATGGCTTCTCATGGGAAATTGGTCTCTCCAGCTTCCTCTACTTGCCACCTCTTTTTTGGTTTCTCTTCTTTCAAGATTTCCTTTGTTAGAGCTAAAGAACCACGATCAGATTAGTTTCTTCTGCCTTTTACTGAAATCAGTGCTGTTTACAGGAAACCCAATCCCTGGGCTACTCACAAGCCCCTCAGGGGATGAATTAAAAAGCCACAACTCCTCTGTTAACAACCGCAGACTTGCAGATTTCTGCCCTGCAGGCTCTTGCACGAGTCCTCTGCATACTTCACCACATGATCCATTCACAAGTCGGCAGCTGTTCGTTTCCTAAAACCAAAACAATGAAAAAATTGCATTAATATAAGATATCAACTTTTTTTGTCCCGAACTGACATACATGATGTACCAAAGTTATTTTATTTAATTGTATCACATAGTTGTAGATTTGTTCCTGTACATTATCTTTTTTCTCAAATTCGGCCTAAAACAAAACTTCGCATTCGCTGCTTGGGACATTTCTCGCTTTGTGTTTTAAATTGATTTCACAGAGGATTGCTCTGCATGCTTGAGGAGAGGCCAGTCAGACAGATATTTGAGAATTCACATCTGTGCAATGAATGAGTTGGCCCTTCAGTGCAGGAGCTCCTGGATTGTGTTTCAGTGCAGCACAGCTGGACTGACAGGACTGACAGGACTGGGGGGGGTGTAAAAGATTTAGAAAAATCCCCCACTTTTGCTGTCCTCTAAAAACCCAGAACGGCATGGCAAACCATCACTGTAAAACACAGTAGAGTTGTATGTACAATTATGCAGGGTCATTGCTTAACCTTATTAAGCTTTACGTTTTAAACTCAAGGTGGAAGCGTGGTTTAATTACTTTAATACTGTCTAATTAGGTCTAAGTAACAATGGTAGGCGAGTTTACACCATGATAAATAGTTAATGCGGTGAATGCAAATTAGAGAACAAAAAGAGTCTCCAATGTCTTTGAAATCACTCGTTGCAAAGCGTTACGGTTTCCTAGTAAGTAGTTAGATGAAGTTTACTGGACAATCGGTGATGCATGAAAGGGACAAAACTGATGAGAATGAATTAGCTACCCCAACATCATTCACAAAAGTGATGTCACACATCCAGACAGAAGTACAGTGCGGATCACATGGTCAATGTGAAAAGCCCTCTGTTTTCTTAAGGGTCAATGAACTCCTACTTGATCTGTTTCTCCTTTCTTCTATCTGTAGGATGGCAGCAATGCTCTTTCCATCGCACTGGAGGCGTCTCACAACGACACAGCTGTGCTGCTCTACGCCCATATGAACTATGCCAAGTCCCAGCCTGCTGTGGTGAGTCCCACTCCACCCCCTCCTCTTCGTCTGTGGAGATGGGTTAGTCTCACTTGTATAAATGACATGTGAATAAACAAAACAATTAAAATAACAGGTTAAAATATGGTAAATACACCTTTAGTTTTCATGCAGGCTTGTCTGGTTTTGTTTAAACAACATGGAAAGAAAGGATACACATTTCGAGTGAAGAGTTCATGTTTTAGAAGTGATTCATTGTTTGTTTTATGAGCTAAAAGGTCTGAAAGCCATCCACTTTAAATCTGCTGGGAAATGGCATGTACGCAAGAAGGCTGACGTCTGTGCAGGTCACACGACAGCATATCTGGGTTGTATCTGTGGGTTGGATCAGTTCCTCTGCAGCTCTCAGCTTTAGTTTGGGTGTGGGCAGCACTATCTGAAGGGGCACTGCTGCCCCCTATAGGTTTTGTCAAGCTCCCGTCAAGTTTGTTTTATTAATATTTTAATAACAGTGCTGCAACATATTAATATTTCTATTTTGGTATAAAAAACTGTTGATGATTTTCTCGATTCAATTAGGAAATTAGTTGTTTGTTGTGAAACATTTTCCAATCAGAGTTTCCCAAAGCCCATTTGACCTCCTCGAATTTCTTGTTTTGTCCAAAGAACAAAATATTAGGTTTAATACCCACATTAAAGAAGCTCTAATCAGATGATTTAGATTGTTTTTCCCTAAAAAATGAATCAAACCAAGTTATCGATTTTCTAAAAAGTTAAGTACATTGATAAAAAAAATGGCCAACTAACATCCGAAATGTAATCCTTTGCAGGGTATTGAAATATTTTATGTGTTTAATGTCTTCCAGGGGAGTCCAAAGACCCAGCCGAGAAGCCCCACCAGCCCCCACAAGTCCTGGCCTTCAGACTGAAAGGATCATGTAGACGAACACATTAACAGGATCTGAGCTGTAAAACGCTCCACTGGAATTTTCTTAAATATATATGTATTTATATATTGCCATATGTCCTGCATTTATAAGTATTGTTAATATGAAAATATTATTTTTTCATAAAAGTTGTGAATGGTTATATAATATACGTGACTAATATGAGCTCCTAGCATGTCTGAATGAGGTCTCCAGCGCTTGTTTTATTTTAAATCTGTGACGAGATGAGACCTTTACATGTATTATTTGCACTCCCTATAATATGTTTTACTGTTAAGGGCAATACACACCAGTGGGATATTATACATGTCAAAGAAACCTGCACCAATAAGTTTCAATGTAAGCTTACAGCCCAATATGGGCCAGGCGTTACTGTCGGTGCAGAAAAGTGATCATCTCTTGGATCCCTGGTTTAGCACGTCCCAACTCTTCTACTCTTTGTTTTTTTTTCTGTGCAGCCTTGGTTAACTTTCTGTGAACCTCTTCATCTTCATCTTTGTCTGCACTAACTGTTCGTGCAATGTAAGTTTATATAAATAAATATATATATATTCATGTCTGAAATAAACATATTTACATAAAAGTTGATGGAAATTGGTTGTTTTTGCAAGCATTCAAATTTTTGGGATGATTCACTTTTCTTTACTAACGGTATGCATCTAGAAGTGTTCTGAAATAATTTGGTTTTCTACATTTTCTGTGAAGCATTATTAATCAATTAATTAATTAAAAGTCATTTCAAAATCTTTATAGACAAAATCGTTTTTATTTTTCTGAAATGGATTTGTGGGAGGTCAAAGTACACGGATAATTTTAATTAGGTTAAATAGAAATTCAATTGTGTGGAATATTGTTAAAAAGAAAAGTCCTGCATTCAAAGTCCATATGTTACCATTAGCATCAACATACAGGACTGTCTCAGAAAATTAGAATATTGTGATAAAGTTCTTTATTTTCTGTAATGCAATTAAAAAAACAAAAATGTCATACATTCTGGATTCATTACAAATCAACTGAAATATTGCAAGCCTTTTATTATTTTAATATTGCTGATTATGGCATACAGCTTAAGNATTTTTGTTTTTTTAATTGCATTACAGAAAATAAAGAACTTTATCACAATATTCTAATTTTCTGAGACAGTCCTGTATAGGCAAGGCAAGTCTATTTATACAGCACCTTTCAGCACATGGCAACCCAAAGTGCTTTACTTAAAATAAAAGACATTGAATATTGAATACAGTGGAAGCACATTATACAAAGGCATTTAAAAACGCATTTTAAAAAGCAAAGATAATCAAAATAAACACAACAGGTATAGAATACATGGATAAAAGCCAAACTGCAGTTTGAATTTGAACAACTCATCCAAATGCAGCGTCACTTAAATTAGCAATAGTAAAAGAGTTTAGTTTGACTTTATTTTATTTAATATGCATGTAAATTACGAGAACTTGATACATGATTTTTAACATACTAAGGGATGTACAGCTCTGGAAACAATTAAGAGACCATTGCAGCATTATCAGTTTCTCTGAGTAGGTATGTGTGTAAAAACATTTGTATTCTATAAACATGTAGAGATTGAGATTTAAAGGTCCCCTATTATACTTTTTTTCCTCAATATATTACAGGTCTCAGATATATACAAAACATGTCTCTGAAGTGTTTGGCTCCAAACACCAAACAGATCATTGCAGCATCCCATAATCCCCTCTGTTTCAGCCCTGTTTCAAAAGTGCTGATTCTCTGTCTGTTACTTTAGATGAAAATAAGGAGCCACTCCCCACGCCCCTCTGAGGGATATTTGGTTAAAAAGAACACAATGGTGCTCTAGGAGGAGATTCAGGTGATAAGGTGGGGGGACTTTTCACATAGTTCACCCGGACTACGATATCAATTTGCGTTCCCACACAAAAAGAGCCGGACCTAAAATATGTATCATCATAAAAAACAAACAGGCAAAACCACAGAACTTTTCAGATCTGCTACACGAGAGCAGAGACTTTCGCGAGAAGAAAAAGGTCTCCTATGTACTCATGATGGCTGGCGATTGCAACACCCCCGTAGAACTCCAAACGATTTTACTGTGGGAAAGCCTTCATTTTATTATCCTCCCAGCATTACATTATTAACATTAGCCAGCGCACAAAGGCAGAGAGACATAACTTACTGGCAACACAAAGAAACATAAGGGCGCGGTGGGAGATAGAAACGGAGGCTGTACGGCATTCTGGAGATTTAACTTCGGAGGCTTCAGTAGAACAGACTGCTGGAAGAGTCCAGCAGCTTCTACTAGCAAGCCAGTCCCCACTCGGGGACTCACATACTCGTCGAGAGACCTTCCGTCCGGGCCGACTGCGGGTGGCAGTGAATACGACCGTGAGTGAGTTTGCGCGCCTGCAGTAAACCAAGCGAGAAGAAAAGTACGACAACGCGGGACTTTCAATTGCCTATCTCCCTCAGAGGACTTACTTCCGGTGTGAACGCGATCCTGTAC